CTCCATACCAAACTGGTGGAGTATCACGTCTAAAAATTGGGTCACTGGACCAGAAATCTTCATGGAATCGAATGCTGGAAAACACAGGACGGATACTTAAATCGTTTTGGAATTATGACCCGTGAAATTTTAAAAAAATGTTTTTTAATTCATAAATGACAAGTGTCCCATATATATTCGACGCTGCTTGCTAAACGCATAGAATATCCGGTCTGAAACTTGGACCATAATATGAGAAAATTTGTAAAAATCGAATGTTGGAAACTACAAGGTGAATATTTAAACCGTTCTGGAAGTATATCCCGTTAAACTTTGAAAATTTGTTTTTTAATTCTTAAATGACAACTGTCCCACAAACATTCGACTCTCCACGTTAAACTGGTGAAGTTTCCGGTCCAAAAATTGGAATACAAGACGAGAAATCTTCATGAAATCGAATGCTGAAAACTGCAGAAGGGATACTTAAATCGTTTTGGAGTTATGTCCCGTTAAACTATGAACAATTGTTTTTTGATTTATAAATGACAACTGTCCCACAAACATTCGTCTCTCCGTACTAAAGTGGAAGAGTATCCGATATAAAAATTGGGTCACAGGGCCAAAAATCTTCTAGGAATCAAATGCTGAAAACCTCAGGACGGATACTTTAACCATTTTGGAATTATGTGCCGTTCAACTTTGAAAAGTTATTTTTTCATTCATAAATTACAACTGTCCTCTATATATTCGTCTCTCCTTACTAAACTAGTAGAGTCTGCGGTCTGAAAATTGGACGATAATCTGAGAAAACTTTTAGAAATCGAATATTGAAAACTACAAAGTGAATATTTAAACCACTCTGGAGTTATATCACGTTAAACTTTGAAAAATTGTTTCTTAATTCATAAATGACAACTGTCCCACAAACAGTCGTCTCTCCATACCAAACTAGTGGAGTATCGGGTTTAAAAATTGGGTCACTGGACCAGAAATCTTAGTGGAATCGAATACTGGAAAATGCAGGACGGATGCTTAAATCGTTTTGAAATTAAGACCCGTGAAACTTTGAAAAATTGTTTTTTAATTCATAAATGACAATTGTCCCACATATATTCGACTCTGCTTGCTAAACGCATTAATATCCGGTCTGAAACTTGGACCATAATATGAGAAAATTTGTAAAAATCGAATGTTGGAAACTACAAGGTGAATATTTAAACCGTTCTGGAAGTATATCCCGCTAAACTTTGAAAAATTGTTTTTTAATTCTTGAATGACAACTGTCCCACAAACATTCGACTCTCCACGTTAAGCTGGTGAAGTCTCCGGTCCAAAAATCGGGATACAAGACGAGAAATCTTCATGAAATCGAATGCTGAAAACTGCAGAACGAATACTTAAATCGTTTTGGAATTATGTCCCGTTAAACTATGAACAATTGTTTTTAGATTTATAAATGACAACTGTCCCACAAACATTCGTCTCTCCGTACTAAAGTGGAAGAGTATCCGATGTAAAAATTGGGTTACAGGGCCAAAAATCTTCGTGGAATCGAATGCTGAAAACCTTAGGACGGATACTTGAACCGTTTTGGAATTATGTGTCGTTAAACTTTTAAAAATTATTTTTTCATCCATAAATTACAACTGTCCTCCATATATTCGTCTCTCCGTACTAAACTAGTAGAGTCTGCGGTCTGAAAATTGGACCATAATCTGAGAAAACTTTTAGAAATCGAATGCTGAAAACTACAAAGTGAATATTTAAACCGTTCTGGAGTTATATCACGTTAAACTTTGAAAAATTGTTTTTTAATTCATAAATGACAACTGTCCCACAAACAGTCGTCTCTCCATACAAAACAGGTGGAGTATCGGGTCTAAAAATTGGGTGACTGCACCAGAAATCTTCATGGAAACGATTCCTGTAAAACACAGGACGTATACTTAAATCGTTTTGGAATTATGACCCGTGAATTTTTGAAAAATTGTTTTTTAATTCATAAATGACAAGTGTCCCACATATATTCGACTATGCTTGCTAAACGCATAGAATATTCGGTCTGAAACTTGGACCATAATATGCGAAAATTTGTAAAAATCGAATGTTGGAAACTACAAGGTGAATATTTAAACCGTTCTGGAGGTATATCCCGCTAAACTTTGAAAAATTGTTTTTTAATTCTTGAATGACAACTGTCCCACAAACATTCGACTCTCCACGTTAAACTGGTGAAATCTCCGGTCCAAAAATTGGGATACAAGAGGAGAAATCTTCATGAAATCGAATGCTGAAAACTGCAGAACGGATACTTAAATCGTTTTGGAGTTATGTCCCGTTAAAATATGAACAATTGTTTTTTGATTTATAAATGACAACTGTCCCACAAACATTCGTCTCTCCGTACTAAAGTGGAAGAGTATCCGATATAAAAATTGGGTCACAGGGCCAAAAATCTTCGTGGAATCGAATGCTGAAAACCCAGGACGGATACTTGACCCGTTTTGGAATTATGAGTCGTTAAACTTTGAAAAATTATTTTTTCATTCATAAATTACAACTGTCCTCCATATATTCGTCTCTCCTTACTAAACTGGTAGAGTCTGCGGTCTGAAAATTGGACCATAATCTGAAAAAACTTCTAGAAATCGAATGCTGAAAACTACAAAGTGAATATTTAAACGGTTCTGGAGTTATATCACGTTAAACTTTGAAAAATTATTTTTTAATTCATAAATGACAACTGTCCCACAAACAGTCGTCTCTCCATACCAAACTGATGGAGCATCCGGTCTAAAAATTGGGTCACTGGACCAGAAATCTTCATGGAATCGAATGCTGGAAAACACAGGACGGATACTTAAATTGTTTTGGAATTGTAACCCGTGAAACTTTGAAAAATTGTTTTTTAATTCATAAATGACAGGTGTCCCACATAAATTCGACTCTGCTTGCTAAACACATAGAATATCCGGTCTGAAACTTGGGCCGTAATATTATGAATTATTTTCAAAATCGAATGCTGGAAACTACAATGCGAATATTTAAATCGTTCTGGAGTTATGTCTTACTACTTCTTAAAGGGTATGTCATTTCCCAAAATAAGTCGTATCATAGACAGTACATTAAAAAAAAACTGAATTTAGTTTTGGCTAGATAATGACTGAAGTTGAAAAAATATCGAGACCCATATTTGAAGATATTTCTACTAAAGTTACTGCAAAAGTAGTTAAGTGAAGATCTGGAAAGAGACCGTGGAATTGGAACCGAAGCAAGAAACCGACTGAGGAAGAATCGAGAGAATTCTGAAACGTTTTTTCGAACAAAAAATCGAGTAGAACAATTTTGTTTGAAATAAAAGGTGAACTTTTTTTGGTGAAGGAAACAAAATCTCGCGGTTATTGAGAAATTGTTGGAAGAACCTTCAAAAAATGATCCCCAATGTTCTTCAAAAAAATAGTGAAAAAATTTGTAGCATTTTCCATTAAATTTCTTCTTTCAACTAGAAACGTCAGAGGACTATTTCTCCAGTTGGCCAAAGTAGCTAATTTTAGAACATTTTTATTATTTCAGAATTATAGAGTACACAGTAGTATACAGAGTGTATCGTTGTTAAATTCCAAAATTTTGCCAGTACATTCCTAGCCCAAAAATAAATCAAACAAGGAAATTTATTCATCTAATTTCAAAGCGGTTGCGAAAGAATTATATTTGGGAATGAGAAACGACAGAAAAGTCTTAAGCAACAGAAGAAACAAACTGATGAAATAGATTACTAGACGAAGAAATGGTTTAAAATATATAAAAATATTCAAATAATTGAAGCCAAAATTTAAAACACTTCAATTTCAAAAGCAATAAATCAATAGAACAATTCTATCATAATATAGATAAATAAAAGAAGAAAGGTTTTCAACAAATTTCTACAACATTCCATTACTAAAGATGATATAGCATTTTCAGAACACTATGTTAAAGAAATAGAAATGAAAACATACAGTTGTATAGAGAAAGCGAAAACTGTATTGAAACCACCAAGTTGCGGTTCTGTGAAGAGTCGAGTATAAAAAATTTTGCGAACTGGAATCGCAACAATTACGTTTTAAAATCAAGAACCAACACGTATAGTTTTTAGCAAAACCGCCCTTTTTACACTAGACTTAACTCCAGAAAATGTAACTTTTGCTATTCACTCCGAATCAGACGTGTGGCTTATGATTTCAGTATTCTGAGTTACATTATTAACAATTTAACAATCAAAGCTTGAAAACATTACATTCTGTGCTTTTGTGGCTTGGAACTGGAATTTTGAAGATTCATCATATTAATTCGTGAAATTCGGTTTTCGCGGTTTTCGGAATGGAACAAAATACACTCCTTTGTATTTATTGCTTTCATTTCACCCACTTTGTGCGATTACGCAATATTTATATTTAATCCAAGAGAAAAAGCCATTAAAAATTTTACACTGAAATGGCATGGCATTTGGTAGTTACGTATTACTTTCATAGTTAATTAACTCGAAACCGTAAACATTGTATTCGCAAACATATCCACAAAAGTAAAATTAAATAGCGGCAATTTAAATTAACGAAGTGTGTAATTAACATTTGGTGTTAATGTAAATTATCGGTTGTGGCAGTTTTAAATTCATTCGTGTTTAAAACCCGGGGGTTATTATTATCATTAAAGAATCGTAATTTAGAGTAGAGGAACCGTCCGACATATGTGATTTCGCTGACTTAAGTACAGTGACGGCCTTCAAACCCTACTTCACCCCATTTCCAACTTTATCAAACTTTTCAACCGTAATTACTCCAAAGGCTAAAGAGATTCCAGCCCCAAAAAAGCTCTCTCTTTGTGTCCTCCCATTGATGTTTTCGTACGAATTTTAATTACATCCCCAACCCCCGAAAGCGAAGTGCAGACACACTGCCATCCTCAAAAACAAAAAATCGCTACTACTTATAATTAATGTCGGCTCGTAAAACCCGTATAACTCATCTGCTCTCTTTTTCCAGGTCCGCAAGGCCAACAAGGAGCGGCAGCGCCTCTCCCGGCTCCAGAAACGCGAGATCGGTTTGGCCACCATGCTCCTGTGCGTGGTGGCGGTGTTCTTCGTGTGCAACCTGCTGCCTCTGGTGATCAACATCATCGACACCTACCGCCCCTGGTGGAACTTGTCGATCCTGGTCAACACCAGCAATCTGCTGGTCACGATTAACTCTAGCGTCAACTTCATCATCTACGTCATCTTCGGGGAGAAGTTCAAGCGGCTGTTCTTGGTGCTGTTCTGCAACAATTCGCTGTTCGGAACCGGGAGGGAGTCGCCGGATGGGGCCACGCATGAAGACAGCTTTATGTCGAATGGTAGAGTATTCGAGTTTTTGGAGATATGTTCCGTTGAATTCGAAAAACATGTTTTTAATTAGAGGATAAAGGCGATATCTCCGAAATTGGAGCAATTTTCAAACAGCTGAGGGCAGAAATAGCTTCTACGTGCAAATTTAGTCTCTATTACAGAAACATCGGATCAACTTCATTTTTACACCTTGTTTTACACAATCGTGAAAATTTCAACATTTCAATATTGATTTCGATTTAATGAGCTATCATATTTCTGAAAATTAGTCCCTTTAGTAATTCGAACCTCCGTAAGAAAAATTTGCGCTAAAAAAATGTCCCCGCAGGCTCCTTATTTTTTTTCTTAATTTTTAATATTTTGAATTTTCCACTCCTATGAAAATGACACCATTCTATATTTTCATCTCTAAATACCAAACGAATCAAGAATCCAACCTGAAATTTTCCTAATAGTGCTACAAAGCCGCAAGGAATCGAACTGTGTAAACCGCAAAATGAACTTCCAAACCGTTTTGGAGTTACTTCCCTTTAAATTTGAAAATCGTTTTTTAAATCGTAAAAAAATGGGAAATCGTTCGAAATTTGAAGAACTATCAACAGACGATGGCAGAAATGATTTCTACAGTACAAACTGAGTCTAGAAGTTTTATTTCAAGAAAATTAAATAAACTTCATCTTTACGCCTTATTTTACACCATCGTGAAAATTTCAACATTTTGAAAATTTCAAGCTATCTCGATTTAATTGACTCAAATATTTCTGAAAATTAGCCTCTTTAGTTACTCGAACCTACAAAAGAAAAATCCGGGTCCAGAAATTGTCTCCGTTGGCTCCTGATTTTTTTCTTAATTTTTGAATATTTTGAATTTTCCACTCCTATAAAAATTACATCATTCTATATATTCATCTCTAAATATTAAACTAATCGAGAATCCAACGTGAAATTTTACTGGTTGTGATACAAAGCCGCAAGGAATCGAACTGTGTAAACCGCAAAATGAACTTCCAAACCGTTTTGGAGTTACTTCTCTTTAAATTTGAAAATCGTTTTTCAAATCGTAAAAAAATGGGAAATCGTTTGAAATTTGAAGAACTATCAACAGACGATGGCAGAAATGATTTCTACAGTACAAACTGAGTCTAGAAGTTTTATTTCAAGAAAATTAAATAAACTTCATCTTTACGCCTTATTTTACCCCATCGTGAAAATTTCAACATTTTGAAAATTTCAAGCTATCTCGATTTAATTGACTCTAATATTTCTGAAAATTAGCCTCTTTAGTAACTGGAACCTCCGCAAGAAAAATTCGGGTCCAAAAATTGTCTCAGTTGGCTCCTGATTTTTTTCTTAATTTTTGAATATTTTGAGATTTCCACTCCTATAAAAATGACACCATTCTATATATTCATCTCTAATTATTAAACTAATCGAGAATCCAACGTGAAATTTTACTCATAGTGTTACAAAGCTTCAAGGAATCGAACTGTATAAACCCCAAAATGGACTTCCAAACCGTTTTGGAGTTATTTCCCGTTAAATTTGAAAATCGTTTTTTAAATCGTAAAGAAATGGGAAATCGTTCGAAATTTGAAGAACTTTCAACAGGCCATGGCAGAAATGATTTCTACAGTACAAATTGAGTCTAGAAGCTTTATTTCAAGAAAATTAAAAAAAACTTCATCTTTACGCTTTATTTTACCCCATCGTGAAAATTTCAACATTCTGAAAATTTCAAGCTATCTCGATTTAATTGACTCTAATATTTCTGAAAATTAGTCTCTTTAGTAACTCGAACCTCCGTAAGAAAAATTCGGGTCCAAAAATTGTTTCCGTTGGCTCCTGATTTTTTCTTAATTTTTGAATATTTTGAGATTTCCACTCCTATAAAAATGACACCATTCTATATATTCATCTCTAAATATTAAACTAATCCAGAATGCAACGTGAAATTTTACTGATAGTGCTACAAAGCTTCAAGGAATCGAACTGTATAAACCGTAAAATGAACTTCCAAACGGTTTTGGAGTTATTTCCCGTTAAATTTGAAAATCGTTTTTTAAATCGTAAAAAATGGGATATCGTTCGAAATTTGAAGAACATTCAACAGGCGATGCTAGAAATTATTTCTACAGTACAAATTGAGTCTATAAGCTTTATTTCAAGAAAATTAAATAAACTTCATCTTTACGTCTTATTTTACCCCATCGTGAAAATTACAACATTTTGAAAATTTCAAGCTATCTCGATTTAATTGACTCTAATATTTCTGAAAATTATCCTCTTTAGTAACTCGAAACTGCGCAAGAAAAATCCGGGTCCAAAAATTGTCTCAGTTGTCTCCTGATTTTTTGCTTAATTTTTGAATATTTTGAGTTTTCCACTCACATAAAAATGACATCATTCTATATATTCATCTCTAAATATTAAACTAATCGAGAATCCAACGTGAAATTTTACTGATAGTGCTACAAAGCTTCAGGGAATCGAACTTTGTAAACCACAAAACGAGCTTCCAAAGCGTTTTGGAGTTATTTCCCCTTAAATTTGAAAATCGTTTTTTAAATCGTAAAAAATGGGATATCGTTCGAAATTTGAAGAGCTTTCAACAGCCAATGGCAGAAATGATTTCTACAGTACAAATTGAGTCTAGAAGCTTATTTCAAGAAAATTAAATAAACTTCATCTTTACGCCTTATTTTACACCATCGTGAAAATTTCAACATTTTGAAAATTTCAAGCTATCTCGATTTAATTGACTCTAATATTTTTGAAAATTAGTCTCTTTAGTAACTTGAACCTTCGTAAGAAAAATTCCGGTCCAAAAATTGTCTCCGTTGGCTCCTGATTTTTTTCTTAATTTTTGAATATTTTGAGATTTCCACTCCTATAAAAATGACACCATTCTATATATTAATCTCTAAATATTAAACTAATCGAGAATCCAACCTGAAATTTTACTGATAGTGCTACAAAACCGCACGGAATCGAACTGTTTAACCGCAAAATGGACTTCCAAACCGGTTTGGAGTTATTTCCCGTTAAATTTGAAAAAAGTTTTTTGAATTCGTATAAAAATGCGATATCGCTCGAAATTGGAGGAATTTTCAACAGGCGATGGCAGAAATTGAGTCTAGAAGCTTTATTTAAACAAAATTGAATAAACTTCATCTTTACACCTTTTTTTAAACCGTTTTAAAAATGTCGACATTTTGATCATTTCAAGCTATCTCAATTTAATTGGCTCCCATATTTCTGAAAATTTGCCTGTTGACTAATTCGAACGTCCTTAAGAAGAATCTGGGCTCAGAAAATATCTCCGCTGACTCGATTTTTTTTTTTAATTTTTGAGTTGTCCATTTCTCTGGAAATGACACCATTTTATATATTCGTCTCTAAATACTAAACGAATTGAGAATCCAACGTGAATAGGGGCGGCTTGTCCTATGAGGCAAATGAGGCAATGCCTCAGCAATGAATTTGCGCCGTGTTATTATTTTTACTATTTCTGGCCCATACATTTCTGGCCAACAGAATGTTTTTTTCTCTAATATTTTAAAAATAAACGTGAAAAATTATTGCTATTCTTACCTTAGTAGATGGATGTTAGCTGTTTCGAAGAATTCAGAAGAATCTAGAAGAATCTGAAAGGGTCTGCAGGGATCTGATACGATCTGCAAAAAGATTTTTTCAAATTCTTTAATTTTGTTTACGACTCTTCTTTTCGAATTCTCTTTAAGAGAATTCCTTTCAGATTCTTGCAATCACTTTCAAATTTTTCTAGATTCTTTTAGATTTTGCTAGATTCTTCGAGATTTTGTCATTTTTCCTGGAGGAATCTGAGGGAATCTCAAAAAACGTAGAAGAATCATGAAGAATCTAAAGGATTTTGCAGGACATTGGAGCAATGTGGGAAAATTTGAAGGCAAATGTTATTATTAAAGTCTAGAAAATCCTAGAGTCTGAGGAAATCTAACAAAATTTGAGAGATTCGTAAAGAAACTGAAGCAATTTGAAACAATTTCAAAGAATCTGAGGGAACCTGTGAGAAACTGAGAGAATTTTGAAGAATTTCGAAAAATCAAATCGAGTCTTAAAAAAACTGGAGGAATCTGAAAGAGTTTGGAAGAATCTGAAAGGATCTGGAACGATCTGAACAGAACTGAAAAATTTGAAGGAATCTTGAGGCTTCCTGAAAGAATCTGAATGATTTGAAAAAATCTGAAGGAATTTGACGGAATCTGAGAGAAATTGCGAGTTTGGAAAGAATATGAGGAATTCGGAAAGTATTTGAAGGAATTTGAGGAAACCTGTGGAAATCTGTGAGAATTTCGAAGAATCTAGAAAGATTTGGAAGAATTTGGAAAAATCTGCAGGGATCTGATAGTATCTGCACGGTTTTAAAACCACCTGAAGAGAATTCAAAAATTTTAAAGAATGTGAAACAATCCGAAATAATCTTAAAAAAATGAAAGAATCTGGAAGAATCTGAGGGAATCCAAAAAAATTTGAGGGAATACGATACTAAGAATCGGGAAGAATTAGAAAGAACCAGAGGATCGAAAAGAATCTCAAGAAATCTAGACGAATCTAGGTAAATCTGGCAGAATTTGACAGAATCTAGAAAAATGTAGAAAAAACTGGAAAAATTTGAAAAAGTCTGCAGGGATCTAATATGATCTGCGAAAATTTGAAAGAATCTGAAACCATATGAAGGTGAAAAATTCTTAAAGAATCTGAGAGAATTTAAGATTTTTTCAAATTCTTTAATTTTGTTTACGACTCTTCTTTTCGAATTCTCTTTCGCATTTTTTTTCAGATTTTTTCAAATCAGAAATTCCTAAGATTTTTAAAAAATTTTTAATTCTGTTCAGATTGTTTCAGATCCTTACAAATCCTTTCAAATTCCTGCAGACTCTTTCAAATTTTTCTAGATTCTTTTAGATTTTGTTAGATTCTTCGAGATTTTCTCATTTTTCCTGGAGGAATCTGAGGGAATCTCGAAAAATCTAGAAGAATCATGAAGAATCTAAACATATTTGCAGGGCATTGAAGCAATGTGGGAAAATTTGAAGGCAAATATTATTATTATTATTAAAATCTAGAGAATCCTAGAGTCTGAGGGAATCTACCAAAATTTGAGAGTTTCTTAAAGAAACTGAAGGAATTTGAAGCAATTTGAAAGAATCTGAGGGAACCTGTGAGAAACTGAGAGAATTTTGAAGAATTTCGAAAAATCAAATAGAGTCTTAAAAAAACTGGAGTAATCTGGAAGTATTTCGAAGAATCTGAAAAGATCTGGAACGATCTGAATAAAACTGAAAAATTTGGAGGAATCTTGAGGATTCCTGATGGTCTTTGATAGAATCGAAAAAATCTGAAAGAGAAAATCAGAAAGAAAATTAAAGAATCTGAATGCACTTGAAAAAATCTGAAGGAATTTGAGGGAATCTGAGACAAACTGCGAGTTCGGAAAGAATCTGAAAAATTCGGAAAGTATTTGAAGGAATCGGAGGAAACCTGTGGGAATCTGTAAGAATTTCGAAGAATCTAGAAAGATCTGGAAGAATTTGGAAAAGTTTGCAGGGATCTGAAAGTATCTGCACGGTTTTAAAACCACCTGAATCGAATTCAAAAATTTGAAAGAATGTGAAACAATTCGAAAAATTCCAAAAAAAGAATCTTAAAAAAAATGAAAAAATCTGGAAGAATTTGAGGGAATCCAAGAAAATCTGAGGGAATATGATACTAAGAATCGGGAAGAATTAGAAAGAATCAGAGGGGATCGAAAAGAATCTCATGAAATCTAGACGAATCTAGGTAAATCTGGCAGAATTTGACAGATTCTAGAAAAATGTAGAAAAAACTGGAAGCGATCTTGAAAAAGTCTGCAGGGATCTGATATGATCTGCGAAAATTTGAAAGAATCTGAAACGATATGAAGGTGAAAAATTCTAAAAGAATCTGAGAGAATTTAAGATTTTTTCAAATTCTTTAATTTTATTTACGACTCTTCTTTTCGAATTCTTTTTCGCATTTTTTTTCAGATTCTTTCAAGTCAGAAATTCTCAAGATTCTTTAAAAATTTTTAGTTCTGTTCAGATTGTTTCAGATCCTTACAAATTCTTTCAGATTCCTGCAGACTCTTTCAAATTTTTCTAGATTCTTCTAGATTTTGCTAGATTCTTCGAGATTTTCTCATTTTCCCTGGAGGAATCTGAGGGAATCTCGACAAATCTAGAAGAATCGTGAAGAATCTAAAGGATTTTGCAGGACATTGAAGCAATGTGGGAAAATTTGAAGGCAAATATTACTATTATTATTATTAAAATCCAGAGAATCCTAGAGAGTCTGAAGGAATCTAACAAAATTTGAGAGATTCGTAAAGAAACTGAAGGAATTTGAAGCAATTTGAAAAAATCTGAGGGAAACTGTGAGACACTGAAAGAATTTTGAAGAATTTCAAAAAATCAAATAAAATCTAAAAAAAACTGGAGGAATCTGGAAGAGTTTGGAAAAATCTGAAAGGATCTGGAACGATCTGAATAGAACTGAAAAATTTGAAGGAATCTTGAGGATTCCTGAAAGAGAAAATCAGAAAGAAAATGAAAGAATCTGAATGCACTTGAAACAATCTGAAAGAATTTGAGTGAATCTGAGAGAAAGTGCGAGTTTGGAAAGAACCTGAGAAATTCTGAAAGTATTTGAAGGAATCTGAGGAAACCTGTGGGAATCTGTGAGAATCTCGAAGAATCTAGAAAGATCTGGAAGAATTTGGAAAAGTCTGCAAGGATCTGAAAGTATCTGCACGGTTTTAAAACCACCTGAATAGAATTCAAAAATTTGAAAGAATCCGGAAGATACCTGACGGTGTCTTTGAAAGAATCTGAAAAAAATTTGAAAGAATGTGAAAAAAGGAAAGAATCTGAAAGAATCTGCGGGAATCCAAGAAAGTCTGAGGGAATATGATACTAAGAATCGGGAAGAATTAGAAAGAAGAATCTAGGTAAATTTGGGAGAATTTGAGAGAATCTCGAAAAATGTAGAAAAAACTGGAAGAATATGGAACAGTCTGTAGGGATCTGCAAACATCCAAAGCGATCTTGAAAAATTCTGAGGAAATCTGAGGGAATCTTCAGGAATATTGAGAGAATTTGAAAGTATAATATAAAAAATCGGTAACAAAGTGTATTTTTTCTAGAAACTTTCGCATTAATTTTTCAACATATTGATATTAAAATTTATAGAAAACTTTATATTGATATTTTACCGTTGAGACGTTATAAACGAAGTGAAATGAATAATAAATAGAAATTAAGCCAATTTCAAACTATCCCGTTTTAATGGCTTGTCATATTTTTGAAAATTAATCTCTTTATTAATTCGAACTTCCTTAAGAAAAATCCGGATTCAAAAAATATCTCCGCCGGCTCCAGATTTTTTTCTTAATATTTCCGATACATTCATACTAAACGAATCGAGAATATAGCTTGAAATTTCACTGATATTACGAAAAAAGTTCGAGGAAATGAAGGGTGTGAACCGTAAAACGGACTTTCAAACCGTTTTGGAGTTATATCCCGTTAAATTTGAAAAACATTTTTGATTTCGGAAAAAATCGCGATATCGCTTAAAATTGAGAAGTTTTCAACAACTTAACAACAACAACATTTTTATCCTTTATTTTACGAAAAATTTCAGTTTTGTTTTCACGTCCATTTTTAATTCCTACTATTTAAATTAATATTTGTTTATAATTTTTTCCAATGTATGTTTATTTTTCTGGATAAGCAATATTGATTTATTTACAGGCGATAGGCAAAGCCTGAGACTGCACCGCCAAAACACGACCATCAGCCGCAACGGCATGTCCGGCCGGATGAACGGCTCCCAGAAGAAGCGCTCCAGGGCGTCGAGCCCCGGCCCGTGCGTCTATTACCCCGCAAACCGGGGCAGCAAGGAGATCCCGAGCGCGTACACCACGCAAACGTCGCTCTCCGGGCCGGACTGAGGGAGGAACAGGATGCGGGGTTGGTTGCGAGGCGAAACGTAAGGAAGTACCTGCAGTTTTAGCAAATTCCTTCCCGAATGCCACTTGTGACACTTTCTAGAAATTAATCTCGGCATTTCGATTAAAAGAGCATTCCTCTATTCGGAGTGACATTTGCGACGTTCGGACCCAATTACTGTAGTCCGAGGGAGGAAGGAAGGGATGCAGATGCGAGGATAACCCCTGATAACCCCTAAATGTGATACTTGGACTGTAGAAACTGTTGTGGTAGTGACTAGTTAGATCCTCTTTGTATATAAAGTCTGGACCAATTCTATCCTATCTACAGACATCTTTCTTCTAGTCAATATTTTTAATTGTTGCGATTAGCAAGAGCAGGGCGGGCTTTGGACGCCGGACTGTCACTAATAGCATCACAGGGTATTATTTATACCGCGACTAAGCGCATGTTTAAGGCCGACTCTGATCTGAACTGAACTGAACTGAACTGAACTGAACTGAGCAACAAGATAACAATGCTATATTTCATATCACCGATTTATCAAACACAAAGATCAAAATTCATTGAACACTTCACAGTCGGAGTTGAGCCTTAAGCCGTGTTTACAATAGTACAAAGATTGGCAGCTGCCTAACCTCTCACGCAGCTGTCACGTATTACTTAACCTACATTACAATTGACTCAGCCATGCGCTTTAGTCTTCTTTCAGATCTAGTCTTCACCACACTGCCGTATTTTAGCCCTAATTTATCATCCAAAAATGATATTACTATACTTAAGTTATTTACTTTAGCCCATATCAATCGATACAAATGTATGTATCCTATAGTAATCATACTTCACGTGTCACCGCACATCTTCATCCGTGGGGAAATATAAGCGCTATCTTTTGCAAGCATAAAAGACTATTTTGGTATAAAGTGGATTTGTAATTCGAGAGAGAAAAATCACGTAGCGTCTATCTACAAATTCAGCATTCCTAACCTAATCTTGTACATACAATATTACAATATGTAATCACACGTTAATCATAAGCCTGAAGCACACGATACACGTTCTGTTCCGTTGTACAGTGTACACCCACGTGGATAAAATTTATGCTTATTAGTATCCACCGACCTGAACTAATTTCGCCGCGTTGCCATACATTTAAATTAAAGAGATAAACTCGAAATTACGCGCGGATTAATTTATTGTCGCCGTTATAAATTTCGCCCGAGCGGAATACTTAGCTAAGTCTAGTTTAAGTTGCCCGATTATTTATTTTTGTACCTGGAATGATCACTTCATCACAAGATGTACAATGTATCCGAAAATGAGAAAACAATAAAAATACTTCATGTCTGGCTGCGTTTTTTTGCTTCTGAGTGATTTTATTGGATTCGATAACTCGTCGAGGGATGGATGGGAAATCAGGCGAGGAATTGAAGCCACATAGCGAGAATGAATAATCACGATAGAGAATGCCGGGAATTCCCGGCCAGTGTGATACCGACTCGACTTTCAGGTTATGATTTTGACAGATGAGGTAAATATGGCGCGGCGTCGGATCGTCTCCCTCGTGCCAAATTAGCGTAAGTCGGTGTTTACTGCAGGTGCTGTGATTTATCGCCCTAATCCTCCTGTGTCTCTATATAATCGCCCTTAATTGATTTCGCAAATTTATCGACGGATTCAACTGTCATGCAAAAACATGGATCAAACGAGCTACGCATAACAATTGCACTTCATGAATATTTGTACACTGCGAAGCGCCGAATTATACAATCCGAGTAAATTGTACAAATATTAATATTTTACGGCAGTTATGCAAATGTTGAGCGGAGTTTATCTCTAATTAGAATTCCGGTTTTGGTAACCCTGACACGGTAAGTATTGATGCATTTGTGTGTGTGTGTGGTTGCGTTCGTTAGTAGTGACTTAAAAACGCCGAAAGCAGTGACGCTGAAATTTTCTACAAACAAATTTCGTGTGGGGATGAATATTCAGGCACAATATTAATTCGATAAACATTCTTGTGTTTGAGTAGTCTAGACCAACAGAAGATAAAATCAATCAGTTTCTACGTTCTGATATTTATCTTCATTGTTTTCATTTATTTTTATTGAGATGCATGCGTCAAGTTGTGTTGATCTTAGGAGATGGCGGCGCTGAATCGTGTGATGGAAGCTGACTAAGCTGGAATCAAAACGCTCACCACAATAGGTTCGTCTAGTGCTAGATTTGATAAAAAAATCCGAAAATACGCTATTATAAATAATGAGAACTCGATTCCTTGAAGCTTTCTGGTTCAACGAGCAAATTTTCAGAGCGGAACTACGTCACTTTCACGGCACGAGGATTGGCGTATTCTAAGGGGGAGGTTGCTCGGGCGCCACCTAGGGAATTCTAGCCCGAGAAACGGATTTCTAGTGGGTTAAACTTAACGAAAATATTCAGCTTTTATTTCTTTCCACCAGCACAAAACTAAATAAGAAAACTTTCGGACTAACAAAAAAGATTTTTTTTATTTTAATAGAACATAAGTTCAGAACAGTTCAATAATTCGTGTTGTGGTTTAAAGCATTCGATTTCTTGACACTCCCTACCCAATGTATAAGAATAATGTTATTTCGTAATTAATTTTTAAGGTATCCCAAAAGTGGCTATATTTCATTTTGGTCGTTACGAAAAAGTGGTTGGAATTTTCAAAAAATGTTGCCAAAAATAAATTTTACAAGTTGAAATCAACAAAAAAATCCTTGGTCAATTTTTGAGAATGTACAGCAAATATTAAGCAATGGAGCTTTTGACAAAATACCCCAAAAAATCCAAAAAATTCTAGACTGTATAGACGTCGATGAGCTGATTTGAAAAACATCCTATTGATGGTCCCAGACCAAAATTTTCGCAATTTTCAGTTTCGAAATCAAATTTTCTAATATATCCCAAAAATGACCATATTTGATTTTGGTGATTCTGGACAAGAGGTTGGATTTTTCGAAATAACGTTGTCGAAATTGACTTCTACAAGTCAAAATCAACACAAAATGTCCTTGGGTAATTTTCGAAAGTGATTGGAAAAATGTCAAAAATATCGTTTCAAAACCAGAATTTTTATCGAATATTCCAAAAATGGTCATATGTATTTCATTTTGGTGATTCTGAAAAAATAATTGAATTTTCGAACTGTTGCCGAAAATAACTTCTGAAAATCTAAATCAACAAAAAATGTCGTTGGGTGATTTTATTAAGTGTGCCGAAAAAGGTTCAACATTTTTTAAAAGGGCAGTATTGAAAATATGAGCTTTTGGCAAACTTTCTTAAAAAACACAAGCAAATAATTTTCAAAAATACTCAAAAAAATCTCAAAAATTTCACAAAGGATGAGTATTAAAAAATTGAGCTTTTCGCAAAGTCGACTAAAAATCCACAAAAAACTATAAAACATAAAGATATCGACAATCTGATTCGAAAAACATAGCTTGCAGATGGTTCCATACCAAGAATTCCAAAATTTTCGGTTTCAAAATCAAGTTTTTAAAATATTCAAAAATGGCAATATTTCGTTTTGGTGGTTCCGGAAAAGGGGTTGTAATTTTCGAGGAAACGGTACTGAAAATAACTTCTATAAGTCAAAATCAACAAGAAAATGTCTTTGGGTAATTTTGGAAAATCTTTTGAAAAATGTCAAAAATTTAACGAATTTGCCTAAAAGTCTGCAAAAAATTTTGGGATATAGGTATGGACGACCTAGTTCGAAAAACTTGTCTTCATTCGTGGTTAATTCTGGATGAGTGATCGAATTTTCGAAAGATACGTTTCAAAAGTGCTCGGAACATGGTCAAAAATTCCAAGAGGAGGGGATTTAAAAATACCCAAAAAATTGTGGGATATAAATATCGAAGATCGGATTCGCAGAACATAGTTTGTCTCGGGCCAAGATTTTTGGTTTCAAAATCAAATTTTGAAAAGATAAAATATCCCAAATATTTCATCTTGGCGATTCTGCAAAAAAGTTGCAAGCCTTAAAAATATTTGGGTTGAAAATAATTTGTTTTAAAGCCCAAAAAATTACAATATTTCAGTGTAGATATTGTAAAAAATCTCTTTAGTTAAATTTAGAAAATTGTCGAAAATTGGCTGAAATTTTCATTAGAGGGGAGTATCGAAAAAATTTGCTTTTGAAAATGTTTCCAAAAAATCCGGAAAAATCTTGGAATACAAATTTCGTCGTGCTGATACAAAAAATATACAGTTTTTACGTTCTTAGTGGAACTTTAAAAATATTCGGGTTGAAAATAATTTCGTTTAAAATCCAAAAAATAACATTTCAATGGCGTCCTTGAAAAATGATAGCAATTATCGAAGAAATGACCTCGAAATTGTAAGAAAAGTTTTTAGTTAAATTTTGAAAATTGTCGAAAATTGGTCAAAATTTTAATTTCGAAACCCCTTTTTTTTTGAAAAAAACTGTCTTGAGGTCTTAAGTATTCCTGTTTGGAAAGGATTTTTTATCTTAGCAGGTACTAGCCCCGCCCACCGACCCTCTCTTTTCTTAGGGGGTATGTCATTTGCCAAAATCAGTTTTATCTTAGCAGCTACTAGCCCCGCCCACCGACCCCTTCTTTCCTTAGAGGGTATGTCATTTGCCAAAATCACTCTTATCTTAGTAGGTACAAGACCTGCCCTCTTACCCTGTCTTTTCTTAGAGAGTATGTTATTTGCCAAAATCAGTTTTATCTTAGCAGGTACTAGCCCCGCCCACCCGCCCTCTCTTCTCTTAGAGGATATTTCATGTGCCAAAATCACTGTTATCTTAGCAGGTACTAGCCCCGCCCACCCACCCTCTCTTCTTTTAGAGGATCGCTTATTTGCCAAAATCAGTTTTATCTTAGAAGGTACTAAAAAAAAGAAGTTTTGCTTCTAAAATAGTTGCCCAAAAAATTCCAAAAAAATCTGGGATCTAGATTTCGTCGTGTTGACTCTAAAAACAGCGTATTCAATCGCCCAATGCAAGATTAAAAAATATTCGCTTTGAAAATAATTTGTTTTAAAATAAAAAAAATTACAATATTTCAATGGGTGATTCTGCAAAAGTGATAAGAGCTATGGAAGAAATGTGACCGAAACTGACTTCTGGAGGTCGAAATCTATGAGAAAATCTTTGATTAAATTTCGAAAATTGTCGAAAATTGGCCGAAATTTTTGTCATGAGAAGAAATATCGAAAAAATGTCCTTTTGAAAAAGTTGCCAAAAAAATCCGAAAAAATCCCGGGATACAGATTTCGAAGTGATGATTCCAAAAATATAGTGTTTTTATATTCGGGTTGAAGATGCTTAAATTGTTTTGGAATTCAAAAAATTACAAAATTTCAATGGGATTCTGAGAAAATAATAGGAGTTATCGGAGAAATGAATCCGAAAATAGCTTGTGGAGGTCGAAATTGTAAGAAAATGTCTTTAGTTAAATTTTGAAAATTGGCCTAAATTTTCATAAGGGAGGAGTGTTGAAAAAAATTACTTCTGAAAAAGTTGCCAAAAAATTCCCAAAAAATTCTAGGATAGCGATTTCGTCGTGTTGACTCCAAAAACAGCGTGTTTAAGCAAGGTAAAAAATATTCGGTTTTAAAATAATTAGTTTTAAAATCCAAAAAACTGGGTATTTATGTTTCACAATGTTTCGGTTTTCATTTTGCCGATTGTTCAAATTTTCAATTTCTTAATTTCGCATATTCTGAATCTCCTCAATTTTCTACAAAAGTTTGTAATTTTTCAAAAACCAATCAATTTCTGATTTTTCGAAATTTTAATTTTTGATTTCTTTATTTTTTTTTTGACTAATCGATTTTTCGATTTGCCGATTTTGGAATTATTCGATTATTCAACTTTTCTATTGCCCGATTTTTCAATTTTTCATTTTGTCAATTAGTCAGGTTTTCCATTTTTTAATTTTTGATTTTTTGATTTCTCCGTATTCCAATTTTTCCATTTTTTTTAATTTTTATAATATTAGTTTCATTTTTCTAATGTTTCGAAATTTCAATTTTCCAATTTTTCGATTTCCCGATTTTTTAATTTCATAATTTTGCAATTTTCCGATTTTGCAACCATTTTTTTTATTTTACAATCGTCTGATTTTTCAATTTTTCAATTTTAAAATTACAGAATTTTTCAGTATTGTACTTTTGCAATTTTTTTATTTTCCTATGTTCGAATTCTCCGATTTCTGTATTTTCCAATTTTATAATTTTTTGATTTCTCGAGTTTTCAATATTCATTTTTCCGATTGTTCAAATTTTCAATTTCCCAATTTCTCAGATTCTTACTCTCGTACATTG